TCATAGAGATTATAGGATTTCTCTATTTCAAAAGATACAATCCTGACACTTAGGCTCTTGAGGGAGAATGTGAAAGGAATGGTTTCATCATTGAGAAATAAAAGAGCAAAGGTCACAAGACATTCCAAATAGAGCAAGGAGGTGTGCTTGCCAAGGCCAAAGGGATCTGATACCCACACTAGACTCCTGAAATGGAACTGTGAATTTAATTCGTGCAAACTGAAGGTACTCACAAATTATAGATGAGATTCTATGACGTAAGTGTATATCTTTTAACTTGCTAAATGAAACACACAGCAGTTTGGTATCAAGTTATCTAATTAGCACAGGGTAGCTAGAGTGATGCTGTAGTACAAATCTTGAAATTTATGAGAAGAAAATTATTGTACTTCCAAGTACAAGTTAAAATCACCACCGTACTTTGCAGACTGGAACAGAGATATGCAAAGTCACACAAGACAGAAATACTTGAAAGTAACAGGATGAATATATTATCTGTCTAAAGATAGAATACATCAATCAGAAAGGAGATATGTTAATCAGGCAATGAAGAAGAAAAAGAAACTATTTAGTAATGTAGAAGTTGCCACTGTCTCTCCATTTATGTCAAAGACAGGAATTTAACAGCCGGGTTACTCCTAATCCCAGGAAGAAGGCTCTTGCTGATAAGGAGATGGGAACCTGGGGCTTCAACCAATGGATTTATTTATTTATTTCCGAGATATAAAACCATTTCTGTTTTAAGATAGATTTGTCAGGTAGCTATCTTGGTGCAACTGAACAGATGCTTCACACAGCCTGTTTGGACTTCATGGTTACTAAGGGCTCTCTGGTCTGGCTTTGCCTGTTTGCTGCTCAGCATGCAGCCTTCCACTCTGCACTGCAGTTTATCTCTCTGGCAGATAACAAAAGGCCCTCCTCAGTAAATGAAGTCATTTTCCCCCCTTATTCTCTTTAGCATACCAGTGCTTGGTTGGAAGGCTGGCCTGTGGCTCTTAGCTTTAGTGAGATCTCTCTCAGACCCTCTTTCCAGAAGTATCCAGGGCAGTGACTGGATTGTCAGAGCCCCCACTCTAAACACAAACTGCAGAGGTTTGGAACCCGACCCTGCACTAGACAGCAGGCACGCACCTTACTTTCTCTTTGCCTTACTTTTCTTATTAGTAAAACAGGGTTAAAGATAACTGTCTTGGAGAACTGCAAGTTTGAAGCCAGCTTGGGTTACACAGTGAGTTCAAGCCCAGCCTGAGTTTCCAAACCACACGGTCTGGGGCTAGTGAGATGGATCAGTGGGTAAAAATGTTTGGTGCCAAGCCCAATAACTTGAGTTTGATCCCTAAAACTCACATGGTGGAAGAAAATCCCAGCTCCTGCAAGCTGCCCTCTGACCTCCACACTTGTGCCATGACATGTAGTTGTCCATGCACATACAAACAAAGAGAAAATAAGTAAATGAAACAAAAACAAAAAAACACCAAAAATAAGGTCTTGGAATGTAGCTCAGTGGTAGAGTGCTATTTAGTTGGCACACAGCCTTGGAGTTGGATTCCTAGCCCTTCACAAAATCTGCCCCAACCCCAGCTAGTTAGTGTAGAATATGAAGGTTATCTACTTCACTATTATAAAGTGTGACTCACACACACAGACTGTGTTAACTATGCCAATATGAACATTCGACCGATAACTGATATTAGGGTGTTGTCTCATTTTAGGATCTAGTGTTAATACCGCACAGTCAGCAGAGTAGGACCTTTGTAGTTTGCTTTAAACACAGAGCAGCAAGTAGCCCTGCTGGCCTGAACTCACTATGTAGTGAAGAGACTTCCCACTTCCACCCCTGCGGGTGTGCTGGTATTACAGGCATGCATAGCCCTATATTACGTGGTGGTAAGGATCGAACCAAGGGCTTCAAGCAAACAAACTGAGTGTTCTATCCACTGGGCTCCATCCCAAGCCCCAGTGTGGGTTTATAGTCAGAAAAACAGTTGCTAATTCCAGAATTACCAATGACATAGCTTTAACTTCAGCTTGTCTTCTAGTCCCCCCCCCACATTATATATTTTATTTGTATATATATGTGCAGCACATGTGTGAAGATGTCCTCCTATGTAAGAGGAAGTTGGAGTTCCAGACCAGACACTTGTGAGAAGAGCAATATGGGTGTCGGGAGCTGAACTCAAACCCCCTGGAAGAACAACAAGTAGCCTTAATTGTTGGGTTATCTCCTCAGCACCTTGGTTTCTCTTCTATAGGGCTTCATTATGTAGCCCAGGTTGGCCCGCCTTAGCTTCCACACCTACCTTACTCTCTCTACTTCTATCTTAGCAGTGTGTTGTGAAATCCAGTGCTTGGAGCCTGGTTTAGTCATAAATAAAAGACGTTGAGAAAGCTGCTTTATTCACAAAGAGTCAACGGAATGTAGCCTCGGGGGAATTGGAGAGGCGGTCTGTTTTCAGTTTAACTGGAGAACTACATAACAGTTGTTTATTATTATTATTGTTTTAAAGTTTACTTTTTGAAAAAAATAAAACCCATATATAATTTCTAAAACCCAACCTACCCACTCTCTGGCCCATATTAAAATGTCTCTGTATGAAGGCTCAGCAGGTATGCTGCTTGCCTAGCTTGCACAAAGCCCTGGCAACACAAATCGGCATGGTGGCACATGTCTGTAATCTCAGTACTCAGGAGGTAGAGGCAGGGGAATCAGTAGTTCAAACTACAGATAAGTTCAGGGTTTGTCTGGGATACTTGAGACCATTTCAAAACAAACAAGCCAGAGCCCCTCAAGACTTCTTTCCTTTATATTTCCCTAACAATGCCCCAGAGTAAGCCTGACAAGGGTATGAAAACAGCCTTAAGGACCAGTGAGAGGACCCAGAGAGTAAAGGTACCTGCTCCTAAGCCAGACGATCTGAGTTTGATCCCTGTAACTCTATAAGATATGCGAGAATTCCCACAAGCTGTCCTCTGATATCTACACGTCTACACGGCACAGGTATGCCCACGTCACATGATAAACAAACAAATCTTAAAAAAAATACAAGTCAGGTGATGTTGGCACAAGCCTTTAATCCCAGCTCTCAGGAGGCAGAGGCAGGCAGATCTCTGAGTTTGAGGCCAGACTGGTCTACAGATTGATTTCCAGGACAGCTAGGGCTACACAGAGAAACCCTATCTCAAAGAAAACAACAACAAAAAACAAAGAACAAAAACAAAAAACCCCAAAAATCAAAAAAACAAACCACGAAGAAAAAAATTAAACGAACCACAACAAAACCGCCAGGCAGGACAACCTAACGGAAGTGCCAGACTTTTCTAGAATAGTTCTCTCACTGCAGTGGGAATGTTCCAGCTTGGTTCATAAGAAAAGCCCCTTCCCCTCACAGTCTCTCCAGTCTCATTAAGTACTGTGGCACCACAGGCAGCAAGCTGTCTGTAGTGTGCCCTGTTGTTGCAGAACGAGAAAGCCCAGAACACCAGGGCCAGAGGTAGTAATTAGGTGACTCTCGTATCTGTGATAGCCTCATTAGACTTCCTACTAAATGTCAAATAGAATCCATACTGCTTTGAAGAGTTAAAGTATTTGAAAATCTGCACAAGATACAACTGGACTAAAAATCCTAGTTTAACTGATTCCCAATCAGAAAATCACTACGGTTTCCTTAATGTATTATGCAGTATGGCTTAATTCTGAATAAAATATTTTTAGCTTACAAAGATTTACAGCTCTGAAGAATACAGAATAAGAAAATTAGCTGTAGATTACTCTAATATTATTAGTGACGGAGCCTTTCTGTGCAAGGAAACCCAAACCAAGCATGCAGTGGGTGCTGGCCATTATTCACACTATTCTAGAGAAGACAGGGCCTGAGATAGCTCAGAAGGTGCAGGTGCCCCTGCTAAGCTTGACATCCTAGCTGGGTCTTTGGCACCTGAACTTGGACAGCAGGACTGACTGCCAAAGGTTGTCCTCTGACTTTACATGCACATGTGCGTTTGTGTCAGTGCAACATACGCACACACATAATAAATATAATAGGAAAGAATAATAAGAGCTTACTGAGTAAAAGAAGAGCAAATGAGATATGGCGTACCTGTTTTATACCCTTAAGACTGGGTATAAGAAATTTCAGAGAAAGAAAAATGAAGTACTTTCATTGGTAAAAAGGTATTAAAATGAAACAATACCTACATTACAATCATCCACAGATTTAGCTGTCCCACGATTCATGACCACTCTTCAGTAGAAGATGGCAACAGTCATCCCCACTGGCCCTTAAAACTGTTTTCAGCCTTGTCTCATTTACCAGGATAGACTCCTGTGGGTTGGCACTCAGGGCTCTAAAGCCTTCTAGAGACAGCCTGGCTCAACTACACTGTACTTTGAGTAATTTATACTTAAAAACCTACCTTTCACAATTTCTTTTTTGAGTATTTACTCCCCAAATGATTTCATCCTTATTAAATTTGTTTCTTGGATTTTTTTTTTGTTTTTTGTTTGTTTGTTTGTTTTTCGAGACGGGATTTCTCTGTGTAGCCCTGGCTGGTCTTGAACTCAGAGATCTGCCTGCCTCTACTTCCTGAAGGCTGGGATTAAAGGCGTGTGCCACCACACCAGGCTCAAATTTGTTCCTTACTGAGCCTAAATCAGTGAAAAACTTTACTGTTCCTAAGTATCACACACGCCCACTATCAGGCACTGAGGCCTGATGGACTATCTATTATACTTGCTGGGACTTGTTTATGCAAGATTCCGACACAATTCCTCTTGTGAAAATGACTAGGGTAGAGCATAGTAGTAAATGACCTTTGCCAAACACATATTATCCCTGCAGTAAAATCTCCTTGCAATACAAAGATAGTAGTAGTTAGAAGGAGCACTGGGAGTTGATTACTTTTAAAAAGAGATGAAAGGTTGTTAAATTAGTAAGTCTTGGCTTTTGGTTATAGACAGGGTTAAAATGTTTGACTTAAACATGAAGTAAGCGAGTCTGTACCTCCAACAAATGCATCTCCAGCTCCATTGGTGTCAATGATTTCTTTCTGGTTTTGATCCAAGACAGCAAAAGCAGTGACTTCATTTTCTGTAATGAAAGCAAAAGAAAGGCATAATGCTCAGTACATAATACCACCCAGCAAAGCTCGACACTCCTGGAGTTTCGCTAAGAATTAGTCTGTATTCTGTACTGGAGGGCGTGGGAACCACAGTGCAAAGCAGCACTTTGTGTAATTCTCAACATTCAGATGGTGGGTGTGTCTTACAAGAGCCACACCCAGATATCTTATGTTCCTGGGGAGACTGGAAATGGTAGCAGCACTCTCTTTTGGACAGTTCAAATGACTGAACAGAAACTGTGAGCAAAAGGAAGTATTTCTGTGGACTGGATCACGAGCCCTACTAATCTTCAATCCTGGTTGGGTTGCTGGCAGTGAAATCTGGGGTGCACTGAAAGAGCTTCAAATTTTAAAATGTAAATAATAAGTCTTGAATACCATTCTACAGAGAATCACAATGGCATACTTCATGCCTATGTCAAAGATTATTGATTTTAGTTGGTTTGTTACAGATAACCTAATCTGATTATCCTTTGCCAACTGCCCAGTAGCTAACAAAAGACACAGCTACCACAAAATGTATGGGCAGAAGAGTGGGGACAGTGTGTTCTGAAGCAGTCTGAACTACTGATTTCCCCTGCCTCCTGAGTACTGAGATTACAGACATGTGCCACCATGCCCGATTTGTGTTGCCAGGAATCTAGCAAGCTAGGCAAGCAGCATACCAACTGAGCCGTCATACAGAGACATTTTAATATGGGCCAGAGAGTGGGTAGGTTGGGTTTTATAAATTATATATTAAAAAAGTAACACATAATATTAATAATAACAATAACAACAACAATAATAAAAACTGTCCTGTAGTTCTCCCTACAGAGGAACCTCATTCAGGACTCTAAGCTTGACCCATGACAGATGTGGAGTACTATGATGAAATCTGGTCAAAAAGACATCTGCAAATGATTGCACAGTGTTTTCTTATTGGACTACTGAACTTCTGAAGTGACAAATTTGCATCCTATGGAGACAGGCATGGCTAATGACTTGCAAACTTCAACCTCACCTCAGAGCAAAGAGGTAGGAGATCTTAAAACCTTAAGAAAGAACTTACTGAGAAAAGATCTTAAGAATTAAGGTGTAAGCCTTCTTAGCACATGTGTGCAGGTGTGTAGCATATGCCTGCAATCCCAGTACTAAGGGAACAAAGGTGAAAATTAGTATTATGAGTTTGGAGCTAGTATAGCCTATAATGAAACCCTTTCTTTAAAAACAAAACAAAACAAACAAACAAAAAAACAGAACAAGGGCCATATTCTATAGACTGGCCAACAGAAAGTAGCAGTGCTTCCTTTCTGAATACTCCATCTTCCAAGGTCTGGGATTACAGGTGTTTATTACCATTTTAGCTCAAAGAAAGAATCAACACAATAGACACAGATATGTTAAAGAAAAAAATGCTCCCACCGAGTGTGTGTGGTAAAGAATGTCCGTAGTCACAGAACTGCCGAGATTAATCTTGGGTTGGGGGCCAGTCTAGGCTATGAAATGAGACTGTATCTCTTAAAACCAACAGAAACCAATAAAATTGATCTTCTCAAAACTGCAGATATTCAATAAGACAAATGCTGACATTCAACAAGACATGTGTACTTAGCAAGCCAGAAGCAGGTTGTCAAGTGGCTCCAGTCTATGGCCTCATGGACTTCACATGTCTCAGTATAGCTAGGATACTAGCCCAGCACATTCGCAGATGACAGAGTTAGATTGCAGTGTCAAAAGTCTGGACAGCTTTGGGTGCTAAAAACCCAGAATTATCTATTCAATTGTAATTAACACTGGTAAGATGACTCATGGCTGTAATCTCAGCATGTGGAATGTGGAGTCAGGAAGATCATAGAGGCCAGCCTGGGTTATATAATGAATTTAAGATCAGCCTGGGCTTCCAGGACTTGGCCATTATCTCACATTTTCTCAGGTTCCCAATAAGATTATCAGTGCCCCAATAGGAAGTAGTATAAAAAACTATGCCCAAATTAAATATTATTTATGAATGTTTGTTTTCATTTAAGGAGGGTTGGTTATAATTGGTTAATAGCCATAGTCAGTGTTTAACTAAAGAAGAAATGGGAATATGATATAAAAATGGGAAAAAAGGGCATATTATTAAATCTACCTTAATCTAAAAAACAATTGTTTATCTCACAGTAATTTACATTGGTACGGATTTTAGTCTATTGGTATAAGTCTAAGGTTAATTTTGTTAAATTGTATGTATATTTTTACTTTTGTTTAAGGTATTATGTTTATGCAGTTCATTTAAAAGGGTAATGTATAGTTAAAAAATAAAAATTAATAGTCAACTATAATAGTCAAGCTTATAGCTATGTTGGTTAGGTTTTCTAGATATGCAGAAATATATTTCAGATGGACAGGTAATCTTTGAATACTTCAAAGACCTATAGAATATGGCATTTAAATGTTTTAATAACTTAAACTTTTCTTGACAATGAGACATATCTGCTCATGGCAGCACAAATTACAAATTAGGATGATGGGCATTGAAGAAACTTGTTATGGAGTTTGCTTTCAAAGTAGCAAGGCTAACCATTTAGGCAAGAAACTGCTCTTGCCTGGACTGCTTGACTGTATGCTATATAAACTTGACATGGAGGGCCCACAGAAAAATGACCCCTAACCTGTGCCAAAACAAGGCAGGATGATCCTTCAGGGTTCTTGTTTCACAGAAGAAACTGCCAGATCCAGGACATGGAGGAAACCAACTTTGCCAATATAGGCATGACAGTCCTACAAATTTCCTGCCTCACTGAAAGGTTTGCCAGATAACCTAGGCTGAGGATTGATGCACCAACATTACAGAAGAACTTTGGGTGACTGTCTAGGCCAGATAACTCTGTCATTTCTAGAGTTTTGGAAGTTGCTTGCTTGCATTTTCTGTTTTCTCAGGTGATATTATATCCTTATGGGGTCTTTGATGGAGTTGAAGACTAGATAGCTATAACTAATTTTCCTTAGTTATGATAAAAGATAAATTAGATATGAAACTTTGGACTCACAAAGAGAGGATAGATGATAGAGTATTTTCTTTAATTTTGCCAAATACAAATAAATAGACTAAATATTATAACTGAAATTCTTGCTTGATAACTGTTTTGTTACATGTAATTTTACAATGATAAAGTTAAAATCTTTCTTGTTGATTAGACAGAAAAGGGGAAATAATGTGGGATGTCTTTATGTATTCTGTGAATATGTGTTGTTCTCATTGGTTGATAAAGCTCCTTTGGCCTATGGCAAAGGAGGACAGAGCCAGGTGGGAAATCCAAGCAGAGATACAGGTTAAGAAGGGCAAAGTCTTGGAGACACCAGCCAGTCACCAAGGAAGCAAGACATGTAGAAAATGAGGTAATACCATGGCTACATGGGAATACATAGATGAATAGAAATGAGTTAATTTAAATGTAATAGTTAACTAGAAATAACCCTGAGCCAATGACCAAGCCTTTATAATTAATAATATAAGCCTTTGAGTGGTTATTGGGGAACTGGCGGGCAGGCGAGAAATCTCCATTTACAAAGCTGGTTGTGGTGATGCACACTTTTAATCTTAGCACCTGGGAGACAGAGGCATTCGAGTTCCAGTCCAAACAAGACTACAATACTGAGACCCAGTCTCAACCTCTCCCCCCACAAGCATAAAATCAATAAACCAAACCAAAATATACAAACAATAGCCCATACAAAAACAAAGTATGGGAGGGCAGAAGGGATCAGAGGTTACACCCTGTCTCTAAAGAGCTATTATAATAGTGGCTAATGGCGTTCGTGGGCGGAGGGAGGGGACTCATTTTCTGCAGTGGTATGTAACTGCAGGCAAATTACCCATGCTCTGGTGAATACCCTATACTCATGCAAGCAACTCTAAATTCAGTCAGAAATAAAACACAACAAAAAATACACAACAAAACAAGATAAGACAAAAAAGAAATACCCCCACTCCCCCAAGACAGAGTCTCACTGTGCAGCCCTGGCTATTGTGTAACTCACTATGTAGGTCTGGCTAGCCTTGATCTTCCTGCCTCTGCCACCTAATTCTTGGATTAAAGGTGTGTTGCAGGACAAGAGGTAAGAAATGCTTTTTGATATTTTACCATAGGCTGGCACAAGGTTGATATATTAGTTACTTTTAAGTGGTCAAGACCAAAATAAATTTCTGAAACATACATAAAAAATGGATGGCTCCTGAGGAAAACTGCCTAACGTGATTTCCTGGCCTCCATAGACACACACATGTACATTCACATATGCATAAGAAATAAACTAAACTAAACTCCTCCCAAACGCAAGATGTTTCAGATAAAGAGCTTGCCACCAAGCCTAATGACCTGAATTCCGTCTGCCTTGCAGAATGGATGGAGAAGGCTGACTCCTACAAGCTGTTCTCTTACTTCCTCACAAGTCAGACTCTATGCTCTGTTAAAATATTCTTCTTATTAATTAATTAATTAGTTAATTAACTAATTCAAATATTCTATTTAAGAGCTTACAGGCATGGTGGCACATACCTTTGATCTCAGTACTTGGGAGGCAGAGGCAGGTGGATTGCTGTGTGTTTGAGGCCAGGGCAGTGTACATAGCTAGCTCCAGGAAGTTGACAAACAAACAAATGAGCTCACAAGGACTGGGCTGAGAGTACAGTGGTATGTGGGGTAAGACTGAAAAGTTGGGAATGACCGCAAATGTTCATGGAGCATCTTTATTTTGCAATAAAAAATATTCACAATTGGTTAATATAATGATTACACAACTGTAAACATAAGAACAGCTCTTAAAATGTATACCTGAAATGAGTGAGTTGTGTGGTATGTGATATCTCATTGAAGGTATTTAAAAAGATATCATAATATCCAGGCTACTCGGAACACATGAAGCTCTTTCTAAATTACTAAGCAGAGAATGTTTTACTGTTGTATTACAATCTATTGTATAAACACACTGGTGTAGGAGGTCC